CACTACCTTCGCACATAACCTCTTGCATTTTCATGGGTCATCACGGGCCCTTCCTTCAAGCGACTCCTTGAAACAATGCTCAAAACTCCATTCCTAGACCTGCACTCTCCTATGAGTATTTTCCACTCTACTATGAGTATTTCTTCATGCAATCCGCAAAGTAGATAAAGCGACAAAATGGTTGATTGTAAGGCTCGAGCACTAATTTCAGAGTGGTAAACTCATTAGTGATGCAAGTAGCAGAGGAAAACTCGCCCAAATGCTCAAGATAGGGCCCCATCCTGAGCTTGTAAGATAGCCCCATTCGAGCGCTCAGCGTAGAGAGGGCATGTTTGGACGAGTTTTCTTTTGCTGACGTGATGAATGTCTACCCGTCCCTCATTCTCGTCAACCGGAATGAAAACTTGCAGCAGAACTACCGCACCACTACGAACCCTTTAGGAATGAAGTGGGCTTGGTATGGGGCACTGAGTTGGGCTTTGACTTCGTCATGAGCGGGTGGCGTGGTTGTCATGTAATTTCGAGCCGCGAAATCGGTACAGTTAAAGTATCCTCGCGCTGGGACGGGTCGTCATTTCGGGATCAAGGAGCGCTCATGGTGATGGGCTCAAAACCGCCTGCTCCTTCTTAATAATACTCGACTCCGTCAGGCTTCAGTGTCATCACTCGAGTGTCATTAGATTCCAAGTGCAATCAGGGAACCTTTCTCTTTGTCAGGCCTAGCACTTTCACCAACAAGGGAGGTCTTTCAGGTCGTGGCGCGCTTTTTGAAATGGTTTGTTGCTTGTTGTAGGGGTCCATACAAGGATCTTAAAAATGGGTTTCATTTTTGCTATGCGTTTCTGGGGAGGTCAAAAACTGTGAAAAGAATTTGACAAGAATGGGCGATTTTAACTATCTTAATGGGCTCCGTTCTGATTGTAACTTCGAGCATGCATAGTTTATGAGGTGCTCGTTAATTAGGCTTCGAAAATAGTTTAAATAAAGTCAAAATGTAAGTATCATGTAGTAACACACTTGGCATGCACCGACGCAACAGTGATGTTTTTGTCAGCGGTCCCCTCATGCTCATTGTTGGCGGATAGGATGGTGCGGCGGATAACGATGGATTCTGGATGGGGAAGACGATTCACTTTGTGGATCGGATCCTCCTTGCGGCAAATTTTTTGCATTCATCAGCTTTCTATTCATTCCCGGAAACAAGCTTCTCCATACAACCGAGCAGAATGAAGAATATGCCTTCAAATGGCATATACTTGGCTTATTTCCACTGCTAGACACACAGGAACGCGAATGAATAGAAAGCTGAGAAATGCAAAAAATTTGCCACAAGGAGGATCCAATCCACAAAGTCCCGTAACGTCGTCCCATCCAGAATCCATCGAGTTATCCGCTGCGCCATCCTATCCACCTGCAGTAAGCATGAAGGGACCGCTAACAAAAACATCACTGCTGCGTCGGTGCATGTTAAGTGTATTACTACATGAAACTTACATTTTTGACTTTATTTAGAATTATTTTCGAAGCCTAATTAACGAGCACCTCATAAACTATGCACGTTCGAAGTTACAATCAGAAGCGGAGCCCATTGAGATAGTTAAAATCGCCCATTCTTGTCAAATTCTTTTCACAGTTTTTGACCTCCCCAGAAACGCATAGCAAAAATGAAACCCATTTTTAAGGTCCTTGTATGGACCCCTACAACAAGCAACAAACCATTTCCAAAAAGCGCGCCACGACCTGAAAGACTTCCCTTGTAAGGCTGCTGCCACCTTATCAATAGCTCCGCAACCGACCTGCCTATCTCCTGGATACACAGTGTACTTACGCTCAGAATCGCAATAGCTTCTTGAACGCGATGTGGTCCACATAATGGTTTGCTGGTCCCAGCCACTGTGCAAGACAGTGTTGTTATCCTGTCATGCAGAAATTCTGAGAGTAGAAGGCCTGGTTGGTTTGAACGGGAGCCGCTATTAGATAGTAAGAAAGTTCAATACGCTAGAAGCAGGTACAGTTTGACTCACCTGTCGTATCAGTCTCTATTCCCTGTGTTGATGAGACGAGTTCCTTGGTTGAGCTTATGTACCTGCTCGATGAGTGTTGTCGAGGTTCAGCCGTTGCGGTCATCTTGCCTGTAGGCGAACCTGAGAGCAAGAGCGATAGCCAAATAATAAGGACATATGCTACCTCGCATACCGTACCTTCCTCGTCAGGTGTCGGCACTGTCACTTCTTTGGTAGAGCCTGCGTAAGTACTTGAAGAGTGTGGCGCTGACGCAGCACTCACGGTCGGTCTAATTGTACGGAAACCTGAAAACACCATGTGGAGTCTAACAGCGCTCCCAACGCAACTAACTAGGGAAGGTCGTCAGGTCGAAGTGGCCATTTGTAATGAGATGTAGCTCACTAGACGTGGTTTTGGACGCTGATCTCGAATCTGCCTTTCGAAATTTGCAGAACGATTCTCTGAACGGAGTTATGGAGCTTTTTCCACCGCGTTTACCACGCAACAGGTCGTGGGATCGGATCCCTGCTGAGCTTAACTTTTTTGCTTCTTGTGCAAACGTGGCAAAAAGTGGTTGTGGCGTCACTACTACATTAGCGCTCTCCTTGACTTGCCTGAAAAACAGTTTGCGTTCGCTTACTGGCGCGCTTAGTGCCTTATGATCTAGGAGAATTTTTGGATGTACAGGTGCCCTTGGCGCGGAGTGCAGGCGTTTTCGCGCTGAGCGAGTGCCATATTCGTGTTTATCGGGGCGAACTACGCCTAGGTAGAGGTTTCTAGCCAAATCTGGCATTTTGACCTGACTTCGAAAAGTGAAGCATCCATGGGTTAGTTCAGTTGATGTTCACACCTATTCAGCTGCAGATACATTCTCCTGCACAAAGCCTCGTCTTGCCTCTTCTTACGCATTCATTTTGTTACTGCTCCAGTTTTCCTGGTATCTAAAAGCAAATTCCGTCCAAAGACAAGCAATCGACAAGAGACTGGCCCTGGAACTATTGGTGACCATCATTCGATCAACTGCTACCGCACTTTTCAAAGTTAGGTCAAAACCTCACATCTGGCTAGAAACCTGTCCCCAAGGGTAGTTTTGCTCCCTGAACACGAATATGGCACCCATTTGGCGTTCGAGTGTTTTCTAGGGCGTTCGAGTGTTTTTAGACTCAAAAGAGACATTCCCCACAAAATGCAAAACAAACCCTTTCCAGAAATCCGAACCCTTCATAGCATGCCCGTGAAGCAAGACCATTACCACTACACCATGACGCCGTTGATCGTTGTGGGCCATTCATGCAGGCTGGCAACCGCGCTCGACTCTGTTTTCCTTCATTTTAATTCTAACAAACCTTCATAATTCCGTTCAGAGAATACCACGTCTAGTGAGCTACATCGCATTACAAATGGCCACTTTGACCTGACGACCTTCGGTAATACTCTAACTGACTTGCCGTCATCCCCCTAGTCTGCGTCGAGCTTGCGGAGCCACTAGTCGAGTTCGTGTAATTCCCTGATGGGTGCCGCGCTGGTCCAGTACTTGTAAATTGCCCAGTAGTGCGAGGTCCCACTGAATGTGAATGAAGCCTTCATTAGTGTTTCTGAACTTTCAGGGATGAGTATACTGGCCTACCTGTCGTAATTCCCTTGTCTGGTGTTGTCGGTGCAGTTGAAGAGCTTGTGTAGTGGCCTGATGAGTGTGGCTCAGATCCTGCACTTGTGATCGAACTGGTTGGCAGAGAACCCAAAGATGCTGGAGGAGGTGCACGAAGTTCTCCATTGAAACCATCAAGGAGGATCATATTAGCTCACCTGTCGTACTTTGCGTGACATATGTCGGTGCTACGGATTCATTGGTGGTGTTTCTGCTGCCTACCGTATCGTTACTTGTTATATGTGGCCCGGAATCGGTGCTCATGCCCAGCGTAGTTGTGTGTGGGTCTGAAATCAGCACAAATCGGGTCATCTGCTCAAAGTCGCTAAAAAATTGGGCAAGGTATGTAAGTGTTCTCCATATCCCGGATATGTGGAAGGCGTGGCTACGTGCTGTGTACTTCACATTAACGCGGGAGTGTTGCGCTCCGACAGTTGTGTTCATGTACACAAAACAAGGCAGAATGACAGTTGTCGAAAACAGAATCGTCTCTTGAAACAGGCACTCTCCCCCACGTCAAAATGGCGCCCGCTTCCACGCCTCCTCCATCTTCGGGTTATGGAGTGTATTGGCACCGGCCTCCCCTTCCTGCTCCTATCACTTATGATTGGGAGCCGAGTGCGTGTGAGAATAGTCAGGTAACAAGTTCAAGCGACTGCACCATTGAGTGTGGAAAATAATGAGTGCTGGGAAACGTTCACCTATCGGTGTAGTTCCGTTGAGTTGCTGCGTCTCTTTTCCGTCCATGCTCGAACTTGCACCGTAACTTACTGAGTGCAGCGTTGACTTGGTCCTTGTGGTCAGGATCGCTACAGTACTTGTGTTCCGGTACTCTGGAATCACGAAATGAAACTAATCCTTCTGCACACCCCGTAAGAAGGAAGGTTTCCATGTAACCTCACTTCGGACCAGCAGTGCTCTTATCTTTAACACTGGCAGTTTTCTGGCAACCAGCAAAGGGACAGGAAGTAGCCCTGTGAACCCGGAATATTCATTTGATACCGTCTTCGGCTAAAGACCCCAAAATGAATAGGAAAGAGTGTGTGGTCACAACCCGTGAACTCGCGCCTTCTCGATTACTCGACTGATATCTCTCGATATACATGAGGTCGAGGTCTGAGGTCGAGGGATAGAGGGGGATTCCCACTCATCGCATTACTGGAAGATCTCGCGTCTCCGCGGCGGAGATCAAAGGTAAGCCGAGTCATCTTAACCGATCGATACCGTTAGGTTGTTTACCAGTTTCTCAAAAGGGTCTTCAGTTTTTGTTAAGGCGTTTGGGAGAGCAAATCACAACTGTTTCGGACTCTTTCAGGCTCTGACGAAAGCGAGGAGCCGAAACGTTGGCCTAATAAACGTTAACAATCTTGGTCGTCTTAAATACATCAGTAATTTGACGGAACAACTATGCCAAGATTAATGAGAGAGTCGGTCGTGGAGGATTACCGTCTCCATTAGTCGGGCGGGTATCATGTGACACGGAATCAACCTATCCGCGTCGCTTCCAGCCATTGTCTAAGTTATTGTTGAATCAATCACTATTGGTAGAAAACGCTGCCAGGAATAGCTTCTTTTCCCACCTCCTTACACCGCTTTGACTAATCGCGACGGTACACAACGAGGGGATACATGGTTTTACAACCAGGAAGACAGCATCGTGATGGGTGAAATGGTGGTGTCAGTGCGACTTCACCTCTCGGGGAGGTTCTGGGTGCGACCCTCCCCCCCACCCTGGGGAGGGTATCGCTGCGACTACTCCCCCTTCAGCACCCTACAAATTTCCCACATTTTTGGCACCCGGCAATTTCCGCGCGAAGTGGGAGTTACAGTCCGCTATCATCTGCAGACTGACGGAGCGGCGTAAGCTGCTCGGATCGAGTTCGCGTTCGACTCCCTTGCTCTACGAATGGCGATCGGGTGGACACCGATTCAGGGAGGAAACAACCAGTGATGGAAACGCCGCAGCTGAGAACCGCTGATTGCGATCCGACAATTGCGGTGATGTTAAGTATATACCATTTTTTTTTCCTTCAACTTACTCCCTTTTCAACTACATTGACCACTTTTGCATATAAATTCCCCTGCCTTTTCAAATAAATCAACCACATTTTTATGGCGGACTCAACCAACCCAGATACGCGCAGACACCACTGCGAGCCAGCCCCGACGGCCACGCCTACTTGTCAGCGGCCGACAGCACCCATTCTCTGAAGGGTTCGGCAATCTAGGCTCCGCCCCCTTTCCGCTGAAGTCTTTGTTGTTTTTTTATCTTTTTGCATTTAGGGCTGGCTGCGCGCCCGGCGCCCCGCACAGTGAGAGGCCCCCCGTTTTAGAGAAGCCCCGGCCACTTTTCAGAAAAGTGCAGTATAGGGTGTTGGTTTTCATGCTAGGGTCTCCTTCGTCACTCGTCGTCGAACAAGAATCAGGCCAAAGTTAGTTGCCGATATGATCAGCAGTAACCCCAGCGTGTCCAGCCGAGACCCTATGCTGTCCGATCCCTTTCTTGACAAAGTGGGCAAAGTGGGCGGGGCTTCTTGCAAACTGAGCGAACGTCTCGATGGGCTGGGACCATCTCGCAGTGGGTGGGGCTTTACGAAGGCAGACCTGAAGCGCAAAAATTTTGAAAAAATGTCATAGTTTCGCGAAAAGCAAGGGGGCGTGATCAAGGGGGTGGAGCCTAAATTGCCAAGCCCTTTAGAGAATGGGCGGAGTGGCCATGCGTTAATGCCCGGTCGTTTTCAATCAAAGTGTTGTGGAAAGCAGCAAAAGACAAGAAAAGTCAAGAAAAAAAGACAAGAAAAAAAAGAAAAGTCTATGATTGTTGGCAATGAATAACAGTAGTTGCCTTCGAACATGATGCACGGGCTGCAATTTTTTTTGCGTAACGACTAACTTCAGTGTCCACAAGGCCACCATACTGTTCACATTTTTCGAGTTTTGTGGAGTTCACGACAATATTTTCAGGTGCCCAAACTGCCTTCTGCTCGTTGCAGTGACTTGGAAGAGGACTGGGAACTCGGAAACCGAAAAAAGTTGAAGATGAAAAGTGACGGCATACAGATGTGCCTTTTCCAAGTATTCTGAAAGTTTCTAGGCGCACAGTGCCATCGTGGTCACAACGTTAAGACTGTAGTCAACATTCGGAAGACCGTTGGAGCGTATTCGACATCTACCCGCCAGGATAAAAACATTCACTACCGCTTGCAGGCTGATTCCGAGTCCACTTGCGTCGACTGCGCAGCTAATTTCAGTAGCATTAAAGAGAGAAATATAAGTAAACCAGTCGGCTCTCTAGTCGCTAGTCTCCTGATACGGCTTGGCTGCGCCGGGCGGGCGCGGCTTCGCCGCGCGTACCTTCTTTCACATATTTCTAGACTCAACTGATATCAGGCTTTTGTTCTGTACTCATGGTTAAAGCTTCTCGACAAATACATCATCCCTGCTATTTTGACTATTACTGAGTATGGAGTGGTACTAAAGTGCGTCGATTATGGGCACAGGCGAGAGAATAGCTGGGGAAGGAATGTGTGGCGAAGCCGTGCCCGTCCGGCCAACTTGGGCCGTATCAATACCTAGGTATTAGATTCCAGTCGGCTCGGCGCCTGATGCCAGCGCTCATTCACCTGTGATACGCCCCTTGTTGACCGGACTGGAATCTAATACCTATGACGACCGGTGGTTAAGAGTATGGCAGAATACGCGCTAAAACTCAGTAAGAATAAGTACGTCGTGCGCTCCGCCCACTGGGAGCGGGTTACAACACACCACAGACACACTCAACTCTTGCCATATATCCAACAGTTGAGGTCCTGCACATCTCTGCTTACATGTTGACGGTGTCTGGACCGCTCTGAAACCGTTTTGCAGATTTTTTGTCTGGCTCCGCCCACCTCGGGCTGGCCCCGTCCACAACATTTATGCCCCACATTTCTCAATGGGCGACCAACTCAATTTGTTCCGGTCTTTGAAGTGCTCTGGGACCGTTTTACAGAATTTTTGTCCACCTCGGAGCAGGCCCCGCCCACAATGTTTGTGCCCCACAATCTTCACCGGCGACCCTCTGCTGACCTTAATCCACTTTTTTCCGGTGTCTGGAGTGCTCTGAAACTATTTTACAGATTTTTCGTCTGACTCCGCCCACCTCGGAGCCCGCCCACAATGTTTGTGCCCCACAATCCTCAATCGGCCCAGCTCTCGCTGACCTTGATCCTCGTTTTCCGGATTTCTGGAACGTTCTGGAACCGAGCTACAAACTTTTAAAATGAGTATCCTGCGATTTAGGGCAAGCTCCGCCCACTGTGGGCGGGTCTCAACACACTTTGAGCGTGCCCAACACTCGCCGGATATTTACGTTCTGCACTGAATGGTCTAATGTTGGAAGATTGCGGTGGTAAGAATTGAGTAGTGCCGCCGTTTAAAAGATCATTGGGTGAGTCTGAGCAAACACTAACTATAAGTGCTTTTCAGTTCACATCCTCCTCTTGCGATGAGTATGGAAGTCGAATTACCTGAGTCGAACTACCTGCTCTTCAGTTCACATCCATTCCTCATCGCTTACATAGTATGAAATTCAAGAAAGGCTTGCTGCTTTTTCGTTCACATCCTCCTAACTGGAATCGCCAGACTATGGAACCCTAAAACAGCCTAAGTCGTCTTCAATTTATGTCCAACGGTGCGAGGTTTGCGCTTAATCGCTATGGAAAGCGCGGATCACCGAAGATGGCAAAGTGCCAGAAGCGCCGCGCGCGACACGTGCCGCGCGGGTGTTGTAGGAATAGAAGCTTGTGAGCCGTTGTCTCGTACAGCTACAGTATGATGTCGCACGCGTTGCCACGCTCACGTGTCTCTAACTTCTTTATCTCGCCGTTTTGAGGGACGAAAGTGGTATGTTCTCTGTGAACGCGTATAACAGTTCAAAAGGCACGGAGTCATTTTGAGGACCACTTGATCGCGGGAAATGTCTTCAAATGGTAGGTGTGCGGCCAAAAGTCAAAGCGGAGATCACTCTCCGCCACCATCACTGAAAATCGAGCGGTGGGAACCAAGGCAACCCACTAACGGGATCGGGCTCGTAGTTCTTGATATGTGAGCCGTTTTCCCAGCGATCTGAACGCTTCGTCAATGAACAGGACGCTGTCTACACCGCTC